TAGTCTGTGGTCAGTCAAACAAATTGGCTTCCACATGCATAAATTGTCATTTTTGTGGAAATTGGTGTCACGCCCCTTGTGCAGATATCCAAGAACTAGCTACAAGCAGTATTAAAACGGGGAAGTGTTTTTGGGTATGCCCAAATGAGATAAATCTGTGGACTAAAATCACAAGGGTATTAAAAGAGGTCAACATCAAAGCTGGGACTAAAATCACAAGGGTATTAAAAGAGGTCAACATCAAAGCTGCTTTCATAGAAAACCTGGAAGCTTTCTACAACAGATGGGAACAAAAAAAGTCTGGGCTGAATGGTACTGCCCTTGATACTGGCCATGTAGTCAGAAACTGTAAGGCTGGAGATGATGTCCTGGTAGTCAGTAAATGTGGGGCTGATAGTGCTGTCCTGGGAGACAGTAATGGTGAAGCTGGAGGTGCTGTCCTGGGAGACAGTAATGGTGAAGCTGGAGGTGCTGTCCTGGGAGACAGTAATGGTGAAGCTGGAGATGCTGTCCTGGGAGACAGTAATGGTGAAGCTGGAGATGCTGTCCTGGGAGACAGTAATGGTGAAGCTGGAGATTTTGTCCAGGTAGTCGGGAATTATACGCAGGAAGGAATACATATAAATGACCTCATAGGGGACAGGAGCCATAGTAGGGAAACAAGTGTAGTCAAAGATAAGATAAAACCAATATTGCAAACTAGAAATACCGCAGAATAGCAAACAAGGGACTCCCTAGCAATAGTGAGGATATGTTACCAAAAACAACTGGTGGGAGCTCCATTGCTGGTGCTAGGGAGGATAGAAGTAAGACAGGGAAACATGCACCAACGGGGAATACAGTCACAGAAACCCAAGGCAAACGGAAACCAAGCCTGTGCACATACTATGCACTCGGTATCTGCTGGCATGGGAAATCTGGAAAAACAGATGGGACGTGCAACTATGACCACCCTAGAAAATGCCATGCCCATATGACAACAGGAAAATGCAAACTCCCTTCCTGTAAGCTTTTTCACCCTGAACTGTGTACCTCTTCAGTACAGGAAAGACTGTTTCTATAACTTAAAATTGCCAGGCATACCATCAAAAGGGGGACAAAAAGATACAAAACATTCAGGCCATGGGAAAACCTGGGTAGCCACAGCCACTCAAGAGGGAGAGGTTTTTTAGTGCCATGAAGGAAAAAAACTGGCAGGAAATGGCAGAAATCGTACACCAAATCCAGTCATTCCTGGAGTGGAACCACAGTCGATGGCCTCCACTCCAAACCAACAGATACAGATACTAATGCCGGAAAAAAAATCCCACCCCAGTACCAACAATACCACCAGTCCGATAACATTCTTCTTGGCAAATATACAGGGTCTAAAGCCAGCAACAAACAACAAAATACCTTTCATCCGTGGACTGCTTGCAGAGGCAAAGGCAATGTTCGCGGCTTTCACTGAGACCCACATAAAGGATCACTTGGACAACGAAATATGGATCCCAGGTTACAACCTATACAGATGTGACAGAGTGAACAGGCAAAGGGATGGGGGTTGGCCTGTACATTGCAGAGTCACTTGTTTGCACAGAACTGCTAAATGCCTCAAATGATGTAGTGGAAGTTTTAGCAGTAAAGGTCGAGAACCAAAACCTAGTCATTGTGGTAGTCTACAAGCCTCCGGATGCAACATCCCAGCAATTCCAGGAACAGCTGTTAAAAATTGACCACTGTCTGGAAAATCTTCCAGCTCCTGCACCCAACATCTTGCTCCTGGGGGATTTCAACTTAAGGCACCTAAAATGGAGGAATATAGCAAATAATATTGTTGCAGTAATAACACCAGGAGCTTTTAAATCTCTGCACAAAATTCAATTTAAACCAGCAAATAATAGAGCCTACTAGACTGGAGAATACACTAGACCTCATCTTCACTAACAATGATAATCTGATAAGAAATGTCACCATATCAAAAACAATATACTCAGATCACAACATAATTGAGGTTCAGTCATGTATGCGCGGAGCCCCAGACCGACATAATGAGATTAGTCACGAGGGAGCATTCACCAAATTCAACTTCAATAACTAAAACATAAAGTGGGACCAAGTAAACCAAGTCCTAACCGATATAAGCTGGGAAGATATATTAAGCAACACAGACCCCAACTTATGCCTAGAACAGATTAACTCGGTGGCACTCGATGTATGCACAAGGCTTATTCCTCTAAGAAAAAGGAGGAGTAGATGTAAAATAGAAAGAGACAGGCGCTCCCTTTGCAGGCGACGGAAAAGAATAACAGAGCGGCTAAAAGAGGTCAATATATCTGAAATGCGTAGGGAGACACTGGTCAGAGACATAGCAAGCATCGAACTTAAGCTAAAAGAATCCTTTAGGAGTCAGGAATCGCGGGAAGAACTAAAAGCCATAAATGAAATCGAAAGAAACCCAAAGTATTTCTTCTATACCAAATCAAAATCGAGAACAACGTCCAGTATTGGGCCCCTACTTAAACAAGATGGGTCCTACACAGATGACAGCATGGAAATGAGTGAGCTACTCAAGTCCCAATATGACTCAGTTTTTAGCAAGCCGCTAACCAGACTGAGAGTCGAAGATCAAAATGAATTTTTTTATGAGAGAGCCACAAAATTTGATTAACACAAGCCTATCCGATGTTATCCTGACGCCAAATGACTTCGAACAGGCGATAAATGATATGCCCATGCACTCTGCCCCAGGGCCAGACTCATGGAACTCTGTGTTCATCAAGAACTGCAAGAAGCCCCTATCACGAGCCTTTTCCATCCTATGGAAAGGGAGCATGGACACGGGGGTCGTCCCACAGTTACTAAAAACAACAGACATAGCCCCACTCCACAAAGGGGGCAGTAAAGCAACAGCAAAGAATTACAGACCGATAGCACTAACATCCCATATCATAAAAATCTTTGAAAGGGTCCTAAGAAGCAAGATCACCACCCATCTAGAAACCCATCAGTTACACAACCCAGGGCAACATGGGTTTAGAACAGGTCGCTCCTGTCTTCTCAACTATTGGATCACTACGACAAGGTCCTAAATGCACTAGAAGACAAAAAGAATGCAGATGTAATATATACAGACTTTGCAAAAGCCTTCGACAAGTGTGACCATGGCGTAATAGCGCACAAAATGCGTGCTAAAGGAATAACAGGAAAAGTCGGTCGATGGATCTATAATTTCCTCACTAACAGAACACAGAGAGTAGTCGTCAACAGAGTAAAGTCCGAGGCAGCTACTGTGAAAAGCTCTGTTCCACAAGGCACAGTACTCGCTCCCATCTTGTTCCTCATCCTCATATCCGACATAGACAATGATGTCAGCCACAGCACCGTGTCTTCCTTTGCAGATGACACCCGAATCTGCATGACAGTGTCTTCCATTGCAGACACTGCAAAGCTCCAGGCGGACATCAACAAAATCTTTCAGTGGGCTGCAGAAAACAATATGAAGTTCAACGATGAGAAATTTCAATTACTCAGATATGGTAAACATGAGGAAATTAAATCTTCATCAGAGTACAAAACAAATTCTGGCCACAAAATAGAGCGAAACACCAACGTCAAAGACCTGGGAGTGATCATGTCGGAGGATCTCACCTTCAAGGACCATAACATTGTATCAATCGCATCTGCTAGAAAAATGACAGGATGGATAATGAGAACCTTCAAAACTAGGGAGGCCAAGCCCATGATGACACTCTTCAGGTCACTTGTTCTATCTAGGCTGGAATATTGCTGCACACTAACAGCACCTTTCAAGGCAGGTGAAATTGCCGACCTAGAAAATGTACAGAGAACTTTCACGGCGCGCATAACGGAGATAAAACACCTCAATTATTGGGACGCTTGAGGTTCCTAAACCTGTATTCCCTGGAACGCCGGAGGGAGAGATACATGATTATATACACCTGGAAAATCCTAGAGGGACTAGTACCGAACTTGCACACGAAAATCACTCACTACGAAAGCAAAAGACTTGGCAGACGATGAAACCATCCCCCCAATGAAAAGCAGGGGTGTAACTAGCACGTTAAGAGACCATACAATAAGTGTCAGGGGCCCGAGACTGTTCAACTGCCTCCCAGCACACATAAGGGGGATTACCAACAGACCCCTGGCAGTCTTCAAGCTGGCACTGGACAAGCACCTAAAGTCAGTTCCTGATCAGCCGGGCTGTGGCTCGTACGTTGGTTTGCGTGCAGCCAGCAGCAACAGCCTGGTTGATCAGGCGCTGATCCACCAGGAGGCCTGGTCACAGACCGGGCCGCGGGGGCGTTGACCCCCGGAACTCTCTCCAGGTAAACTCCAGGTAAACTATACTTAACTTTGCAGTGTAAAGTACCTGCGCTAACTTTGCTAGAATGAACGTTATATAAAACAGCTTAATATTACCCAAGTTGACTGACTATCAGTTTAAATTGTTATTATCATAATTATTATTATTAGTAGTAGTAGTAATAATAAGAAGTGTATGTCAAGGAAATATATAAATTTCGCCATGTTCAGACTAATTTTTTAAGAATTATGCCAACGGTAGTTTTACATTCAACTTATTTAGCAAAGCGATGGTTGTTGAATAAGCCTGGTTTACAAACTCCGCTTAAAAAACACAACATATACACTTAGGGATATACAGGTCTCCCTGCATAACGTATATACCGTGTGTGACAGTGTGTGCTGAGGCAGCTCAACGTTTTCTCTGGAGCCGGGATGAATGGTGCATCAACAGTTTCTAATTAGATTAAAAGGCGAGATTAATAATATTATTCGCTATAAAGTCTGGCATTATGCATCAAATAATAATGTACGAACTCATATATATGCGCTATGTTTAATACTATATATGCCAAAATATTACCGTAAGGAGTAGAATTAAAACACTGGATATACCTGTAAGTGGAAGTAGTAGAGTGAGTTTGGTGGTCAATAGATGGCAGCAGCGCCGCCCTCACTAGACTCCATTGCCTGCACTGTCAACTGTGCTGATACCTCTCATTCTGTGCTGAGCTGCCGTGGGGGGTGGGTGTGCTGACTCTTGCTTTAATTTGTGGTAACTGTGTCGTCTCTGGTCCACTATGGACACGGGCGTAAGAAACAGGAAGAATAAATCTTCGCCTGAAGCTGAGAAAGCCGTCAAGGGCAAGATAGAGGAAATAACGTCGGTTGATAATCATAACATGCTTAAGGAAAGCATTGAAAAGCTCAAGCACCTGAATGAAAATATTAACAGGGACTCGGTAAGTATTTTTACAATATGTTATACAGTGGGGTGGGTGACCTAGTGCCCCCAAGTCCTTCGGTCTGGAGATGGTCCCGGTTTTCACCGTAACCTACATACGGGGGGTCGAGCAGTCAGTCAGCTGCTGGCTAGACCAGACCCCTTTAAACTAAACTCTAGAGGTTTTCCTTCTTGTTCTTGTTGCCAGCAAATGTAAATATTCTAAGTGGGAGACACGTCAAAGGTATATTCAGTTTACACATACCTTCCAACTTACCGCGACGTTTCCGGTAAAAGCGGTATGTACCATGGGGTCGTTTTGCCACTAGCTTTTAATTAACCAGGCGCATCCTGAAAGACTCATCCCCTTTCTCGTACTTCCGTGCTCAGATATTCCCATATGTTAACAAAGAAAGTGCAGCTGAAGTATGCATGGCCACGATTGTAACTTTCCTGAAAATTGATGAGGTAGCAACATTTTCTGGAAGTTGCCACACAGCCTCCGTGTCTTGCCCCTCTGGCGTGGCTGCTGGGTGGCTACCTGTCCCCCAGAGATGCTCGAGCTGCTGCTGGCGTCTTGTGAATGATTTGATCTATGATTTTTGTTTGGAAATGACTTATGGTTATTAATCCTGTTTGTAGGTAGCTAGGTTATTGATTTTTGGGTGTTTAATTGTAGGAGTGCCATGAGGGGGCATAGATAATATAAGTATTACGGTATGTAGATTTAACCTACGACTTGATTAGGTCATAATCGATTAAATATACATAATGTAATACACAAGAGGGTCAATATTTACTTGAATTGCTCGGATTTCATTAAATATGGGTTATTTAAATCCTCTAACATTAAGTTGTGTATTGATGACACGTCTCCCTTCCCTCCTCCTCAAAAAAAATCCAACTTAACCTAGACTAGATTTTTGTATTCTAGGTTAGGTTACGTTGTATTCCCAAAATATAAAGCTACAATCCATTTAATATTTTATCATTTACATAATACAAATCACAGCATATAAAGTATATATACTGATCCATACGAACACTAATGTGTTCTCTTGTGAGCCATGTGAAAAATGTACGTTTATTGATTGCCAGAATTACAGCTTGACATAATCTAGTTAATGGACTTGGAATACAGGTAACAAGATTTAATAAGTTTAATAGAGCATGCTTGTTAGAGGTCCATGGTGATGTACTGCACAAGGTTGAGTGTATTATATGTACTTTGGCATCAGCTTCCAGTGTTTTCTAACCAATGTTGACAAAAAGATGCTCACTTAAGCAACGCAGTCAGTGGAGAAACTCGCAAGCGTTTAAATATAAAAGAAAATAACTAGAGGCTTGTGTGTCCCGGTTTTTATGTAATAAAGACTTGTTTCATGAATAGAATCTTCTAATGCGAGTTTGGTCTTGTATACCTTTAATACTACTTAAACGATCGAACCTGGTTGCTTCCCATTCCCTAGGCGTTCATGACGGAATTTAGCGCTGTCTATAATTATATCCTCCTAAGGACTTCAATATAAGCATATTGTGTAAAGTCATTGCGTATTATACATAGTTGTTCAATGCCTATAATAGTGTATAATAAAATCAATGTAGAAATCAAAGTGAAATCGCTTGTAAAACTAAAACATCAATGTTGAGCAAAGGACTGCAGTGGGCTCTTCTAGCCCATTCAAAGGAATCCCAGATTAAGTGGTAATCATTTTTTTTTGTTTTAGTAAAAAAAAATACTGCATCCTTATAGCCTTGCCAGTCATCAGTTTGACATACAAGGATGTAATTCATTGTAATCCTCTTATGGAAGCTATGATAATAAAGTAATAGTAGTGCATATTTAAATGTTTCATCTTCCATATGCCTTGGAATAAACATGCACACAAACCCTGTTTAAGCCATCCCATGGCAATAACTGGGGCAAGGTGGATGACTAGCCGACTATGTCAGAAGTGCGATGTGCATGCAGGCGTAGAGAGAGTAGCCGTGCTGCACGACTTTCACACTGCTAGTCTTCAGAAAATGCTCTGTTGCAGGTGTAACCCGTACAACGCTACATATCCCATTAACACTATACCCATATGCACTGGAGTTTTTATTTTAATGTAACAACTTAATATCATGCCAAGACTTAAATTAGAATGACAATGCAGTATATTCCATCTGTTCATGATATGAAGACTATTCCGTGGTGTACCATCTCCAAATGACCTTCAGGTGAAGTGGAAGGCGTGGCAAGTGGCCCCAGGTAATAACGACTTCGGCTTGTGTGGATGGTACAGGATGGTGGGGGGTTTGAAGGGGGGGCTATTTCTCCTGTGCTTTCCTCCCTCTCCTGTACCTCCCTCTACTTTCCTACCTACCTGCCACGTTACTTTTACCTCTGATCTTCCTCCCCCCCCCCCCTAGTTTCCCATAATTTCACTCCATCCCCCCCCCCCACACAAACAACGCTTCACTTTCCTACGTTCTGCCACGTTACCTTAACCTCTGGCTTTGCAGTACCGACCCCCTCTCCACCACAACCTCCCACCACCCACTCCCTTGTGCGCATTGTGTATGTACTCTATTTGTACTCGCTGATTTGTACTCGTTTGTTTGCGGGGTCGAGGCTTGGCTCCTGGCCATACCTAGAGTACATAGATTGGTATCACTGACTACTGACCTCTTGGGTCTTAAACCTTGAAGCTATCTTAAATGTGCCTCCACCACTGCCTCATCTCGGTCATTCCGCTTCTCAACCCCCTGTCCTCATGATTCTGGTCCTCTTAAATCAGTCTCCATGTCAGCCTTAAGAAAGTTCGTATTAATCATATTCTCTTGCCCTCTCATATAAGGTCGTCAGGTTTAGTTCCTTTCCTGATAATGCGTTCCTCTCATTTTTGGTGCTAGCCTGGTTGTAAACCTTTAGACCATTCCAGTTGCTTTACGTTCTTGACCGGGTGTGGCCTCCATGCTGGAGCCATGTACTTCCATGACAAACCTAACATATGTTGTGTATAAGGTTTTAAAAAAATTGTTTTTATTAGTTCCTGGATGCTATTCTGAGGTTAGCTAGCCATCTTGCGCATGCCACTGTTCATACCATTTATTTGCAGTTCTGGAAATAAGCTAGGTGTTTTATTTGCAGCTTTTCTCCATTCATGATGTATTGTCGAGTCTGCGCTCTTTTCTTTCTCATCTTTCTCTTCTATTTCTCTTTTCTCTCTTTTTTTTCCCTTCTTTTCTTTCTCTCTTCTTTTCTTTCTCTTTTCTTTTCTTTCTCTTTTCTCTTCTTTCTCTCTCTTCTCTTCCTCTCTTCTTTCTTTCTCTGCTCTCTCTCTTCCACTCTTCTCTCTCCCTCTTTCTTTTTCTCTTTTTTCTTTCTCTTCTTTCTTCTCTGCTTTCTTCTCTCTCTCTGCCCCTCAAGGGAGGTTCTTTGATGCTGGTTAGGGGCTTTTGATCTAGGGAATTGGATCTGTGCTCCAGTTTCCTGAATTAAGCCTGAATACCTTCCATTCCCCTCACAGGAGCTGTATAATCCTACAGGTTTAGCGCTTCCCCATCATAATAATTTTCTCTTTTGTTCTCTTCCCTTTCACTTTCTCTTCTCTTTATTTTTTTTTCTCTTTATACAGGGTTTTACGAGGTTAGGGTAACGATTCCTAACATATTTACAAGCTAAGAGCCTTTACCTACATCAGCTCATTTGAAAGCCTTTTTATTATGAAACAAAAATATGGAACAGGATGAAGTTGGAGCCATCTGTGGGCCAGCGCTTTCATTTCGTTGATATGTTGTACGAACATGTTTCAGACTTGAGTCATTCTAGGAATTATTGATCTCAGATGAAGTGATGTTCTAAAGAAGGGTACAGTCAGTGAAGCAGCAGCTGTACTAAACAGTAAGGCCACCCATATCCCTCTGAATTGAAGGCTCTACTGAAATGACAGATCTATCCAGGCTGGGCCAGGCAAGAGATGAGTCGTCTTTCTCTGTTCTGTCAAGAAATCGCAGACGAGATGGAAGGCAGGCAATCCAAGAAAGTGGAGCATACTCAAGGTGTGAGCGTACATGTGCCTCGTACAGAATCTTGCTACCTCTACTGTTGAGCAGGTTAGAGATGCGTCGAAGTACTATAAGCTTCATGAGCGCCTTGTTTGCAAGCTTTACAACGTAGTTCTTCATGGTCAGTTTGGAGTCAAATTTCACCCCAATGATATCAGCTTCGTCCCGGGGTATCAACGCTTGTTCATTCTTACCACCTTCAGCATTACCATCATGGTGCCTAGAAACCATAATCACTTTTCTCAGGAGCAAATGTGACCTGCCATCGTTTACCCCAGGCTGATACCATATGCATGGGATTCTGGGATGAGATGATCATTGAAGTAGACATTCCATAACAATGGCCTAAGCATACTTTCCCGTGGAACGCTTGCACCAATAGGATGTCTTACTGACTATCCCTTTGAAAACTACTTAGACATCTACCTTGAAGTTAATCACTGAGAAGACAATGTAGAGCCTGCAATTTCCAGTGCATGCAGTTTTGCCAAGAGTCCCTGGTGCCATACTCGGTCAAAAGCACCAGCAATGTCCAGTGCCATTACACGACTGACTTTGGATTCATCCATTGTGGTGCCATTTAGTGCAAATACGAGTGGTAGTCTAAAAATTATCATTTGCGTGAGATTATTAAGTCTTGCCAGTGATTGACTGAAATGACACTGGTCTGTAGATGCTGATTTCTGCTCTGCTCTTTTTGTGAGCAGGGACTACATTTGCCTATTTCCACAGAGGTCATTTACACTGCTAGGCAGTGCAAATAGATAGAGGTGCTGCTAGCTGGTCTGCACATCTACTCCGCAGTCTTGGGCTCAACTTGTGTCCACAACCTCTTCTTGGTCCAACAATTCAAGATGATACACCTCCTGCCTCTTTCTCTTGCATTTTCTTTCTCCTTTTTCTTACACTTTGCTCTCTCTCTCTCTCTCTCTCTCTCTCTCTCTCTCTCTCTCTCTCTCTCTCTCTCTC